GAAGGAAGGAAGGAAGGAAGGAAGGAAGGAAGGAAGGAAGGAAGGAACTGAAAACAAAATGGAAATACTAACCATCTATTCTCATATATAAAAGCAAGCCCAAGTTTGTAATCAGATCATTATAACCAACCAAAGTACCTTACTGAGTTCTCCTGCTTCAGATGCACCTCTCACATCCAATTATTAAGGAATACCTATAAAAACAGCATATGCCAAAACACAGTTGTAAAAAACTCAATCAATATAAAAACTCCAAACTCCAAATCAGTATTTTTTAGACATTAATTTTTGTCTTACACTATCTTGGCAAATTACTATTGACTCTCAATACCATTTTCCATTCCATCCCAAATCAGCAATTTGCTATGATATCTGCACTCCCAAAAGAATAATGCATTTTCATATTTTTGGCAGCTCATCTTCAATAATGGTAGCATAGATTTTGTAATATTCTTTCCTCCAATGTTGGTGCTAGTGAAACAAAAGGATTTTATTCTGACATGAAAGGTTTTCCACATATTGTATTACAATTCCTCCAAGTTTATATCAATTTTTTATTTGTCTAAACTTTATTAACAAGTTCATCTGCTTCAACTAATTCAACTGCCTTCAGTCCATCATCATAGTTTTTCTCTTTTCATCTATAAAATGCTACAATATCTTCCTAGAGTTTTAAATTGTTTTGTGCTTGCTACCATTCTTTCCCTTAAACATGTTATACTACATCCAAATCACAAAGAAAATAAATTAAAAAGGTCAGCAAAGGAAATTTAAATACAGGTTTTGGAAGGGAAGCACACAAAAAAAGTTTCTCCTTTTGTATATGTCAAAACTTAATTTGTCCTGTGCTGCAAATCCATGACTATTGCCCAAATTATTCTCGTTGAAACAACAGCAAAGGATGGTAGAGTTCTGAGAAGTCTTCAGCTCAACTCATGATTCATCTCCTTTCTGACCAAGGTCCTGCTGGTTTCAATAAAGAAATTATGTGGAACATTTCACAGCCTGCTCATATGATGGGGGTGGAGTGTTGCAATAAGAAGGTGGAGGGGGATAAACTTGGTTCATTTGTGGAGACTTAGGTTGGACATGGTAACTCATGGCCATAGGATTGATCATAATTCCTTCTGGATCTGTATAATAGGCCATTCCTGGCTGCTGGACTCCTGAAAAAGAGACATAATAGAAAATATCAGAAGTTGATTAATGTTACCATGTCTAAACAAGTAATCCTGGATGATCTTCAAGCTATTCACAAGATTTTTTATATTGTATAGTTTAGAGAACATTAAATATAAAAAATACCCCATCAAAATCAGATTTCTGCAAACTGAAATAAGTGGGTCTTTTTTCTTGATAACTTAGAAATGAGACAATATTTACCTTCTTTTTGAGCTACTAATTTGATATTCATAATTGTTGCACTTGCCAAATTATATCTACAAATTATATCTTTAACGAATTATCATATATATGCTGTGGCAAAGCCTAGGTAACAGAATGTGAGACAGAACCAAGTTCAGTTCATAGAATATCTGAATAAACAGAAACTAGAATACTATAGAGAAAAGGCAGTCTTTGTTTTGAAATTAAAATTGATTTCTCAAAACTCTTCAAGAATTCATTGGACAATTATCTGGCACTTATATGGTAATTTGGCTCTATCCAGAAAACATTGCTGCAATGATTCCCCTCAGAAAAAGTGAGTGTTTTCAGATAAAGTTTTTATATTACAGTTTCATTGTAACTTTTTATTGTTATGGTCTTAGATTTTATTGGGACAATATAATTCTCTAATAATTTCATACTCTTTGTCCTATATATTTAAGCTCTTCTTTAAAAAGGGAGTACTACAAAAGATAGGATAGATCCACCATGACTTTTGACATTCAGAGAACCGCCTCTATGAAAGCATTCACCATCCTATATGATGTGATATGATGACTCCCTTCAAATAATTGAGGGTATCAATTCACCCCTTTCCACTCATGATTTACAGATGTTCATGTAATTCTGAATTATAGTCCACAGATTTGAAATCTGTAAGTAGGTAACATAACTGGGACTGGTATTTCTGGTGGCTTATTCTTCAGCAGTGGAAAGATATAGCTTCTATCACAGTAATGCATAGATAAAATAACAATTTATGCTTGAATTTGAAGTATATAGTACATATAATATATACTTAAAAAATCATTTCTTGTTCAAGGTATGGCCTCTTCAATTATATTTTTGTTTAGTACATGCTTACTACAATAACTACAAGGAGAAAAATAGATAAATGTGTTAAATTCCCTGTGTGTCATTGGAATCCTATGTGTGAGAGTGTATTTACATTTTGAGTGGACTGGCTTGATAACTGAAGGAAACCATTTGTTGTGTTTGAGTTTCTTAGAAATATTAGTGTTATTTCTTTGATTACAAATAATAATAATTTTATTCCATGGAAAAAGCAATTTAAAACAGTTGTGCTTTTATCTTCTTTTTCATTAAAGAGCCATCCCAACCTGGCACACTATGTTAAGTCTGGTGTTTGAAATTGAAATTTCAATTTGAAAATTCCAGAACAATTTAGTTTCTTTCTTTTCTATTATTTTACCTACGGTATTTGTGGTCCCAGCAGTTCTTGCTTGCGGGCAATTTTTGCAGATATTTCAATGTAGTATTATAGCTACTTTGTCATGCTGTTGTTTATAGTTAGTCTGTGTGATCTTGCAATAGCTTATTTATGTGGTTTACTGTTTCTTCAGTTTTAATGCATTCTGGCGATGTATTAAAAGAAATTTCTTAATAGCAAATTTCAAATAGCAAATCTGTCTGCTTTGGATGGACTCTCCTTTACTGGAGATATGTAAGTTGAACAACTATGGTTTTAACTTGCATTGAGATAGCGTAGATGGCCTTCAAGCAGTTTTTTAAAACTTTTTACAAGTATGATCCTTTGGAGTCACATCATTCATTCATGGCACAAATTTTGCCTTGAAGTTGTACTTCTTCAACCTGCCTCTTAAGTTTTTTAAGATGTCTGACAGATTTCATAAAGTAATGCATTAGATTACCTTACAATCAAATCAGTGAAGGCCTGGCAGTAGTTACTGAAATAATTACTATATTATTGAGTTATAGGTGTAAATGGGCGTTGGTTCTTACCTGACACGCCATTTCTCTGGAGCCGTGAGGATCATCCAGAGAGTGGGGAGGTGCTTCAGTCTGCGTCGTTGTAGGCTGAGCTTAATTACTGAGGATTGCTCCGCCCTTCACCACGTGGCTGCCTTGCAATCCCCAGTTTACGCGAAGTCGAGAGTGAAGAGAAGATCTTGCTCTCATCTTACTATGCTAAAGGGTTTATTGGCCGAAACAAGACCCCACCAGACGGAAAACTTAATAAGGGTGGGGCTGGATGATCCTCACGGCTCCAGAGAAATGGCGTGTCAGGTAAGAACCAACGCCCATTCTCCTGGGAGCCGTTCGGATCATCCAGAGAGTGGGACATATCAAAGCTTGGCTGTCCTACGAGAGGGAGTCCGTCTGGTCCTGCAATCTCTGCGGTTCCGTGAGGACTCGCTGGAGGACTCGTCTACCAAACGAAGCCTCCGCCGAAGCAAATATGTCGATCTTATAATATCTAATAAAGGGAGATGGGGAGGCCCAAGTGGCCGCCCGACAAACGTCAGCAATTGGAACCTGGGTGGCCCAAGTAGCCGAGGTAGCAGCACTTCTGGTGGAGTGTGCCGTTATTCCGCTGGGAATGGGCAGGGCCTGGGACAGGTAAGCTTGGGAAATAGTAGCTCTAATCCAGCGGCCGATGGTTGACGGGGACACTTTGTGGCCTAACGATTTGGGCTGAAAGGAAAGGAATAGGGATTCGGATCTCCTGAAGGGCTGGGTACGTTTAATGTAAATGTAGAGGGCCCGTCTTACGTCTAGGGTATGCCAAGGCTTCTCCCTTTCCCGCGAGGGATTGGGGCAGAAGTTCGGAAGTGTGAGTTCCTGTGCCCTGTGGAAGGCTGAGTTGACCTTGGGCAAGAAGGTAGGATCCGGCCGGAGAACTACCCGGTCGGCATGGAAGATGCAAAGGTCCTTCCTCACCGACAAGGCCGCTATCTCTGATATTCGGCGAGCCGAAGGTATGGCCACCAGAAACACAACCTTGAATGTTAGGAACTGGAGAGTGGATTCCCTGAGCGGCTCAAAGGGGTGTTTGGTAAGGGCCACAAGGACCTTATTGAGGTCCCAAGTGGGGTATCTGTGAACTGATGGGAACACAGGTATTGGCTCCCCTGAGGAATGCCCTAATGCGAGGGTGGAGGGAAAGGGACCCCAGATTGCCACAAGCAATGACGGTTGAAAGGGGCTGCGACCTGACGCCTCAGGGTGTTCGGAGAAAGACCTTTCCTCAGACCCTCTGGAGGAATTCCAACACTTGAGCTATGGAAGGGGAAAGCGGGTTGACCTGGAAACCCTGGCACCACTTGCAGAAACTATTCCAAGTGGCATTAAAGATTCGGGCTGTGGAGGGTCGCCTGGCGGCTAGGATGGTATCAATAACCTAGTCCGAAACTGCTCCTTTCTTAAACGCTCCCGCTCAACCTCCAAACAGCTCGCTGGAGCCACTGCGGGTCCGGGTGCTGGAGGGGACCCTGAGAAAGGAATCCTGTTCGGAGGAATTTCCCAGGGAGGGGCCATCGATAGGTTGCGGAGGTCCGCGAACCATGGGCGCCTGGGCCAGTAGAGTGCCACCAGAATCAGTTCTGCTGTCTCGGAGATGAGCTTCTGGATGACCCTGAGTACCAGGGCTACGGGAGGGAGAGCATATAGAAGCCCTGTGGGCCAGGGGCAACGGAGGGCGTTGTAGTTCTCGGCCCCGTGGGAGGGGTACCTCGAGAAAAACCTGGGGAGTTGAGTGGTGAGGGGGGATGCGAGGAGGTCCACTGACGGGAGGCCGAACAGCCCGGTCGCCTCCCTGAACAGTGACGGGTGGAGGCGCCACTCGGACTGGTCCCCCGTGGTCCTGCTCAACCAGTCTGCTTGGGTGTTTAAGTCCCCTGAGATGTGCTCGGCTTTGAGAGAGAGGAGATTGCGCTCCGCCCAACGGCAGAGGCGCTCGGCCTCTCTCATCAAACGGATGGATTGGGTGCCCCCTTGTCGGTTGACAAGGGCCTTGGCGGTGATGTTGTCCGTAAGTATAAGGACATGCCGCGCACGTACCTGAGGGAGGAAGTGGCGTAGGCCCAGGTGGATGGCGCGGAGTTCCAACCAGTTTATACTGCATGCCCGTTCTACCTGAGACCATCTGCCCTGTGTCGAAAGCGAGTGGATGTGAGCGCCCCCTCCGGACAGGCTGGCGTCTGTGGTGAGGGTGAGGCGTTGGGGCTTCTTGAGGCCATGTCCCTGTTGATGGCGGGACTGGTCCACCAGAGGAGAGACGTGAGGACCTTTGAAGGCACCTTGACCGTGGCCTTTGAATTGCTACTGCCGGACCGTTGGAACAGAAGCAGGAACCACTGTAGGGACCTGGTGTGTAACCGGGCCCAGGGAACGATGGAAATACATGAGACCATTTTACCTAGTAGCTTAGACAGATCCAAAAGTGTTACCCTTATTGAACGTCTGATGTCTGTGATGGTTTCCTGAATGCTAAGGAATCTTTCCGAGGAAGGGAAACCTTTCCCCGAACTGAGTCAATGACGGCCCCCAAGTGGGTGATCCGTGTAGAAGGTAACAGTTGGCTCTTTTTCCAGTTACCGGAAACCTATGGTCTTGGAGGGCAGAGAGGGTAGCTCTGACATCCTTCTCTGCTTGGAGTCTGGAGTGGGACAGGATGAGGATGTCATCCAGGTAACAATGGAGACGAACCGGAAGGTTCCTGAGGTGGGCCGCCAGAGCCGCGAGGACCCTAGTGAAGGTCCTCGGGTTAGAGGCCATCCCAAAGGGAATGGCCACATATTGGAAGTGGTGGTGGTTGTAGCAGAATCTGAGGAATATGGAATGGGAGGGCCGGATTGGAATGTGGAGATACGCCTCTGAAGGTCTATAGAGGCTAGCCAATCCCCCTGTCTGATGCCCAGGAGAATGGACTGCAGGGTGTGCATCTTAAACCTGCGGTAAATCAGGTAACGGTTGAGGCGTTTCAGGTCTAGAATAGCCCTCCATCCCCCTGAGGATTTGGGGACCACGAAGAGGTGAGAGTGAAACCCCTGCCCCCGCTGGGATGATGGGACGGGTTGTATGGCCTGTATGCTAAAGAGATGCTGAATGGCTGAATCCATTAAGTTGCGTTTAGTGGGGTCCCTCGAAGGGGGGATGCCATAAAGAAGTCAGGGGGTGTGCGCTGGAATTCAAGCGCGAGACCAAGTCTGATGGTGTCCCGGACCCCGGCATCGGAAGTGGAGGAATCCCATCGGTCAGCGAAATGCTTGAGGCGTCCGCCGATGGGAAGGGAGGGACGAGGTCTATCTGGTGCGCCGGAAGGGCTACCCTCCGGAGCCCCTGAAGGGACGTCTGTAGCTGCCGCCCCTCCTGTTCCTGTCACCTGGATCGGCTCGATCCTGGGGCTGGAATGGCCGGAAGGAGGGGAGTCTCGGATACCTGGGCTGGAAAGATGACTGGTAGAAGGGTCGGGAGGGACCTCTCCGAAAGGGCTGGGGGGCTCTTGACTCTGACCTCCGAAAAGGGGGGGGAAGAAATTTTTTCTTACTTCGGGGTTCGGATAGCAATGGCTCCAGGGCGGCACCAAAGAGTCTGTCCCTCTTAATGGGGCCAGTGGCCAGCTTAACCTTGTTTTTTATGTCCGCCTGCCAGTGCTTGAGCCAGAGCAGGCGGCGAGCTGTAACGTGAGAGGATATCGCTCGGGCGGAGGACTTCACCGCGTGGTAGGTGGCGTCGGCCGAGAATTCTGCTGCGGCCGTCAACTTTGCGATTTCCTGATGTGCCCTTGTGTTAGAGGGGGGAACATGCTGTTTCACTTGGCGGAGCCACCGGATCGAGGACCTGGTGAAAGGGAAGCGGCCATGGCCGATCTAATGGCCCAGGTGTCGGCCTGATGAGTCCTACGTAAGGCCAGTTCGGACCTTTTGTGCTCGGGTTTCAGGCTTCCAGGGGGTCACTGGAAGAGGACGAGGATACTGAACCAACGAAGGGCTTGTCTACCTCGGGAGTGTTAAGCAAGTTGCAAAAGCTCAGCTCGAGGTTAAAGAACCTCTTGTCCTGGCTGGATGGGGCAGGGGAAGCTCTTGTAGAGTCCAATTGGTCTGAAACTAGGTCGTGGAATATGGGTGGGGCCGGAATAACCTTCGCCTCCACCACGGGCTGCCTAAAAATGGCGTCCTCTTGTCCCTCTGCCGGGGCGGGGAGAGCCGGAGAGGACTGAACGACAGGCCAGAAATGTTCTTGGCCTTAAAGAGTAGTGATTAAGCATGTGTGGCTTGAACAAACCCAGAAGGTGGGTTGATCGGGAGTGAGGCCCTCGTCCTCGGACATGTCTCCTTCTATCGGGCCTATCTCCGATAGGGGTTCCCCTTGTGTAGACCCCCATTCAAGATCCTCCTCCTCCCCGAACCTATCCAGGTCCTCTATAGCCTCCTCCATTTCCCCTTCTGGGAGGGGGCTGTCCCCCCATAAAGGTACCTGACCATGGGTAGGGTCCAATCTAGGCGAGGACCTGACTGATGGCGAGTCGTGTTCGGGCGCCATCGAGGGGGGACCGGACCTGTACATCTGTTGAATGCCCTCTGCTATCCCCTGGCGGATAGCCCGTTCCATCCATGCCTACATGAGCGCAGAAATCTCGACAGTGGCAGCCTCCTCCTGGCGCCGACCAGCGGCCGTGGGCGTGAAAGTACTTCGGCCGTCTGGCTGTTGATTCGGGGACCTGGCGTCCCAGAGATAAGCTGCGCCTGGAGAGGGAAGAACAATCTGGGGGAGGGGGGGTGTCTGGAGGTAGAAGGAATGGAGGGTGGGAGGGCTGGGGGCACTGTTTGTGCCTTTCTAGATCGCCTGTCAAATTCTTTCTCCAGTGCCCTATGACGCCTTAGGGCGTCTCTCTGAGAAGCCTTGGAAGTTTCCTTAGGGGCTTCCTTAGCCTGTCTGCGCAGGTGGTAGGACTTAGATCTGGCCTTCAAAGAAGAGCCTCTAGTGGAATTGTCATCTGCCATTATAGAAGAAAGGACTCTAGCTCCAATTTAAGGCGGTTGGCTCGCCAAGGTTTCGGCCTACAACAAAGGCGGGGTGTCCTTTCAGCTGGCCCGCGCCCCCTTTTGGAATTTAGATATGTAAGTTCTACAATATTATTATTGTTATAATTATTAATATAAATATATATACATGCGTATAAGCACTGTATATGTAATCCAATCAGTGTTGGTAATGCGTTATTGCCATGTACCAATAATATATATGAAAATATATACATACCTCAGAAAACATATATATGTATATGTATATAGTTATGTATCATTATCATCATTATCATCATTATTATTATTATTATTATTATTATTATTATTATTATTATTATTATTAATTTTTAATAATAATACTTTTTGACAAGAAATAAACCGGGACCTGTTCAGCGCTCCCAGGAGGGAGTGACCCCAGATACGGTGTTAAATTCTCCAATTGTCCAAATGAACGCCTGAGGCTGAAGTGAGGCCTCTGGCAGCTGGAGCTCCCAGGCAACCACCGGGAGGGATAGGCTGCAATTCCCTGCCCTGAGCTGCTGCGGAAAGCCAACAATTTGCCAATATCTAAGAATGCAGTAAGTTCTCACAGGCTGGGAGGCCTATGATTAGAAGACTAGTTTCTTCGCAGTCGCAGAGGCCTGTTACAAAACGCCCGAAAACGTGGCGGCGCCCAAAATGGCGGCCACCCACGATCCCTTTAAAAACGGGCCGCTCAGGGCAAGACTAAGCCTCTCCGGCAAACCTGGAGGCCGAGAGAGGCAGCGAGACAATTTTTCGCCCCTTTTTGGGGCGATCGGCGTTCGCGGTGGGGGGGATCACCAGCTACGCTTATCAGCGCGATCGAGTGGAGCCGCTACAATAGCGGCGCGAAAAAGCGGCAGGAAAGGAGCCGAATTGGAAGGGGGGGGAGGATTGGCGCCGGAGCGCGAAAGCCGCCCGCTCCCTATCCCCCCTGGGGGTGAAGAACGCGCTCCCCTGCTATAGCCACCCCAATTGCGCAGAGGCTAAGGAGAACCGAAACGCAAGGCAAACCTTTTCTATAGCTGTTAAAAAGGAACTTGAATCGGCCAAAGAGTGGAGAAATGCACAGCCTAATCTCACGAAGGCTGAGCGTAAACTGGGGATTGCAAGGCAGCCACGTGGTGAAGGGCGGAGCAATCCTCAGTAATTAAGCTCAGCCTACAACGACGCAGACTGAAGCACCTCCCCACTCTCTGGATGATCCGAACGGCTCCCAGGAGAACAATGTAATCTCTAACCTGGTGTATTGGAATTAACTGGTCGAGTGAATGACACATTATAAGTTGTTTCATCAACCAGTGGTGAAGGATACATCCGTCTTCGGATAAAGAAACCAGCTCCACAGCAAAATAGAACTCCCATCATCAAAAGGAACCTGAGCAGAAAAAGAGAAACAGGTTAAAAAAACTTTAATTATGTACAAAATTTACTATATAATTAATTATTGATTCCAATACAAGTAATTAATCTGATGGTCAATAAATCTAAATGATTTATTGACCATCTTAATCTAGAGAAAATGGGGGGGGGGAATTGACTGCTTCAAGTTCCGTTTAGGCAGAGTATATAAATTTCAACTTGCTTAGCAAAAATATTTTGGTCCCTAGAGCTCTCCCAAGTTGGCCAAATATTTGAGCATTTTGGAGGTGAAAATATATTAAGAGTTTTTCCCACAAACTTTCCATATCTCAAAGACCATCTGGGACAGAGGTGGGATTCAAATAATTTAACAACCAGTTCTCTGCCCTAATAATTTCTTCCAACAACCAGTTAACCAAACTGCTCAGAAACTTAACAACCGGTTCTCCTGAAGTGGTGCGAACTGGCTGAATCCCACCACTGATCTGGGACAATGAAACTAATAATTTTTGCATGTTCACATAACAGCCATCTGGTCTAAACTTTGAGGACTGCTCAATCCCAAGTTGGTTTGAGGGAGAGGAAGACTGGGTGAAACCAGGCTCAATAGCAATAACTGTGAGAGGGATATTGGAGTCTTAGTGGACAACCAGCTAAATATGAGCCAGCAGTGTGCAGCAGCAGCCAAACAAGCTAATGCAATCCTAAATTGTATTAACAGGGGGATACAATCAAGGGAGGTACTAATATCACTCTATAAATCCTTAGTAAGACCACACCTAGAGTACTGCATCCAGTTTTGTTCACCACATTATAAAAAAGATGTTGAGACTCTAGAAAAAGTACAGAGAAGAGCAACCAGGATGATTAGGGAACTGGAGACTAAAACATATGAAGAACAGTTACAGGAACTGGGCTTGACTAGCCTAGTGAAGAGAAGGACCAGGGGAGACACGATAACAGTCTTCCAATATTTGAGGGGCTGCCACAGAGAGGAAGGGGTCAAGCTATTTTCTAAAGCGCCTGTAGGCCAGACAAGGAATAATGGATGGGAACTGAACAAGGTGAGATTTAACCTGGAAATGAGGAGAAACTTTCTGACAATGAGAACTATCAACCAATGGAACACCTTGCCCTTGGAAGTTGTGGGAGTGCCATCACTTGAGACTTTCAAGAAGAGATTGGACTGCCATCTGTCAGAAATGGTGTAGGGTCTCCTGCTTGGGCGGGGGATTGGACTAGATGACCTACAAGGTCCCTTCCAACTCTGATTATCTGTTATCTTCTGATCTTTAGGGAGTTAAAGACTGCATCTAAAAGAAAGAAGGGATGACCAGAGGGAGACTTCATGATATGGAAAAGGTGCCTGCCTTAATGCTATTCACTCATTCTAAGATTGTACACGCATAAAAGAAAACTCTGACTCTTGTGCCAGATTTAATCTTCTATTCTTTTTATACCCATTTACTTCACTGGATACTATGGCCCACTTGACTGAATGAAGCTTACTTATATGAAGGCAGGTATAGGTTGTAAATCATCTGTCATAGTTAAATCATCTGTCATAGTTAGTAATTCTTATCTGACTGATTTAGGAAACATCAGATGGGGGAGTGCTGCCTTAGGCACTTAAATTCATTTTCATAGTAAATTAACCACAAAGGTAGGCTTCATGGATATCACATTAACTTTGCTAGTTGCTTACCAACTTACCAAAAATACCATAGTCGCTGGATCGACAGACTTCTCACGCAACATCTTGAACCACAACAATCTTCATAGGATCGACATCTGAATAAAAAAGACATTTGGGGATAGCAATGGAAAAACTTAAAAAAACTAACATCCAGATGTTTATACTGGATTTGGCATTTTTGTTCACCTATCAAGTCCTTATCAAGAACCTGGGATAGGCAGATGTTGCTATTTAATAACATTAGAAATAACATATTTATATGGATATAAGCTGTTCCAAGTAAAGCTGCCTTTTGCAATTATTGGTCACTTTTTTCTGTACTCAAATTATCCCTCTATTTAGTACCAGTTTAAATGGAAAGGAAAAATACATATTCCCAAACTTCATATAGTAAGTTGTTATGTTGTTGGCTTAGCACTACAGGAATTTCACTATAAATATTCCCCGGTGAAATCTTTTTTTTAGGCTATATGCCAGTGGAGAGATCTCAAAATCACCTTACATTGGTTTTGTAATAGGAAAGTTTTTCTGCTCATGATATAGACAATGAAGTCTAAGGCTGGATAGAAAGAAGCACTGCCCAAAGTATTTAATTACAATAAAAAAAACCTTCAGAAACATAGATTTACTATGAAGCAACTATATGAAGAGCTATAAGCCATGTGATATTTAGATGTTGTTTTCCGCAGACATTGTATATTTTTACCACCACCACTCTGATTTTCCCAACTTGCTCTATAAGACCTGTGTGGGAGGAAAGGATCTTCTTTATTTTTTCTTCTATAGTAGGTTATGAGGATCTGGCATGTCTGTGAGTGTGGGTACATGTGTATCATTCTGTTGCCTAACTTCGCTGCAAATAGCAGCAAAAAGAAAGGAAAAGAAATACAAATCAGTATTCAACATTATGAGCAATTTAGTCCTCAGTGGCTCCCTACATATAAGCATGCCATTTCTAAGTTTCAAAAATCCAAATAATTTCAATATGACAACTTTTTTTCTCTTTCCTTCTCTTACACACGCGCGCACACACACACACACACACACCTGCATGTGCATACACACACACACAAAGACAGATATAACAGTTTTATTTGCCAGGGAAATGAATTGTAAAATTAAATGGCTGTGCTTATGGAAAATTGTGTGTGCCATGCTGGACTTTGTAGAAGTAGACTAACTAAATTAAATAACTAAAATTAGAATATTTCAAGAGTGCCTTCAATTTCAAGATAAAACAAAAATACCGGTAAATCAGCAAAATACCGGTTCCTGCAATATTGTCTGCAAACATGGACAGATTCTTCTGATTCAATCAGAATTTAGTGACATTTACAGCAGGGTTAATTTTTCAATATGCTGAAAAATGGCAACAAGGAAAACGCGACAAGATCAAGAGGGTGCCATTAAATTAAATAGAAATTTCTCTCTCTTTTTCCCTACCCCCCCCCCTTTTTCCCAATAACCTGCATTGGCATAAAATAAAAAAATAAAATAAGAGGAAAAAGATATGCTGGATATATTGTTACCATGAATTATTTATAAAGAAAATGAAAGGAGGATCTAAACAAACAAATAAACCAATGACCATTAGTTTTTCAATATTAATGTCACCTTTAAACAGGAGCAAAAAGATGATTCCTGTTTTTCCCATTCTATTAGAATATATTTATTTGCTTATTTATTACAACAAATAATATTAATAAATATATTAATATAATAATATATTATTATTTATTTAGTTATTACAAATATTATACTGCCACACTCAGAAGCTCTGGGAACAAAAACTTTTTGAAATTATAATCTTTTTTTTTATTATAAGTTTTTTATTTTCATACAGTCATTCCATCTTCAGTTGAACAGTGTGTTGTCTGGTACAAACATCTTTGTTAAACAATAATCAAAATTATAACATCCTTCATTACATATTAATTCTGCATCTTTAACATAGTAATATCCACCTATTAATTATATTAATTAATTATACAATATTAATATGGTAATATTCAACGTTAGTCATCATATTAACTTATCACTTTTAACACATCATCTTTATTTTGTTTACCTATTTCTAACTTCCATTTCTATTAACTATTGATAGAATAAATCTCATACCATATAATATACAGTTTGCTCTTTCTCTTGTATTGACAGTGTTAATTTATTCATTTCCTCACATTCTAGTATTTTCCGAATCACATTCTCATCTGTAGATATCTCTTCATTCTTCCAACTTTGTGCAAATACAATTTTGGCTGCAGTCAATATATGAATAACTAAATATGCACTTTCCTTACTATATTCTTCGGGTAGAATCCCCAATATAAATATTTCTGGTTTTAAATCAATATGTTGTTTTATCATTTTTTCTTACCATGTCTGTATTTTGGTTCAATATTTTTTTTGCTTTTGAACAGGTCCACCACATATGATAGTATGACCCAGGTATCTGGTGACACTTCCGACATTTAGCCAATTTATCTTTAAACATCCTTGCTAGATGTACTGGCATGAAATGCCATCTATAAAACATCTTGTATAAATTTTCTTTCTATGCAGTTGACATTGTTAATTTATAATTCCTATCCCACAGTTTTTGCCATTTATCTAGTTCAATTGTGTGACCAATTTTTTTTGAAATTATAATCTTCAATAATTTACAATCATAAAACTCAACCAAAAACACATAATCAATTAAAACAATATTTAAATTAAACAAAAATTGCTTAAACTAAGGTTTAAGCAAAGATGAAACAATAGCCTAGCTAATTAATGCATTCAGTTCTATGCACGCCTACAAGCAACTAACACAGAATGTTCTTTAGAGGAGTGCCATTGAAAACGCTTGTCTCTTCATCCAGAGGGTAAATACAAGGAGAAAAAGAAAAAAACCTAGAGAAGATCAAAAAGTACTGGCCATTTGTATGACTCATCTTCTCTTACCAGTTCCAGAGGTGCTAAACAGAACTACTTTGAAGACGCAAATAAACCAGGTAGATGGTTAGCATACAAATTGAGAAAGGAGAAAGAATCAAGGAAAATATTGCAATTAACAGATGACCAAGGCCAAGTTTGCTATGGTAGTAAAGAGAAGAAGGAAATCATTTGAGACTTCTATGGGAAACTATATATGCAAGAGAATATTGATGAGGAAAGAGTTAAACAGTACTTACAGAATGCTAATTTCCCTCAGATACCTAAAGAGATTGAAACAATGTTAGAAAGCAATATAACGATGATGGAGTTAACTGAAGCACTCAAGAAGCAAAATAATGGAAAGGCACCAGGCCCAGATGGACTTCCAGCAGAATTTTACAAAACATTACAAGAATCGTTGAATTTTCCATTGCTAGAAGTTATGAATGAAGTTATGTTAAAGAAGAAGATACCTAAATCATGGTCAGAAGCCTATATTACACTTATTCCAAAAGAGGAGGCCAATCTATTACAAATTAAGAACTATAGACCTATTTCTCTACTAAATGCAGATTATAAAATCTTTGCTTCAATATTGGCAGACAGACTTTAAAAAATATCTAAATAATTTTATTCATCCTGATCAAAATGGATTTCTGCCAGAGACAAATTAAAGATAATATGAGAGTAATCTTGGACACCTTGGAATACTACGAGGCACATCCTGAAAAACAAATGGCTCTGATATTTCTAGATGCACAGAAGTCATTTGATAATGTGAATTGGCGATTCGTGTTATTACTGTTGGAACAGATGGGCTTTGCTAGAAAATTTATTCAAGCAATAGAAGCTATAAACTACAAGCAAATGGCAAAGGTAATGATAGAGGGAGAACTGACAGACTCTATCAATATAAGAAAAGGAACAAGACAAGGGTGCCCACTATCACCTTTGTTGTTTGTGTTAACGTTGGAAGTGCTAAACAGAAATATTAGAAATGAAAAGAATATAAAAGGAATGAAAATCAAAAAGGAAGAATTTAAGCTGCAAGCATTTGCAGATGATCTGGTTTTCATCTTAGAAGACCCTCTAGAAACAGCACCAAAATTGATAGAAAAGATAGAGACATATGGAAAGGTGGCTGGTTTGAAAATAAATAAAGATAAGACAAAGATCTTGACAAAGAATATGCTATTAAGACAAAAGGAAGAACTGGCAGACCTATTGAAAATTCAGGTCACGAATAAGATCAAGTACTTGGGGATATATTTGACAGCAAGATGTAGTACACTAAAAGAGAATAATTATATCAAACTTAAACAGCAGATAGCGCTAGATCTGGCAAAATGGGAAAATTTACAACTGTCACTAATAGGGAGAATATCAACAATCAAAATGAATATATTACCCAGAATTTTATATTTGTTTCAAACAATTCCAATTAGGCTTGGAAAAGATTACTTTGAAGATTTAAATAAAATTGTGTTGAAATATATATGGCAAGGTAAGAAAGCGAGAATAAAGTTAAAACTTTTGCAAGATGCTAGAATTAGAGGAGGATTTAGTTTGCCTAATTGGGAGTTGTATTATCAAGCTACAAATCTGATGTGGGTTAAGGAATGGATAACACTAAGAAATACTAGATTGTTGACATTAGAAGGACATGATTTGTTGTTGGGGTGGCATGCTTTTTTATGGTATAAAGGAACTAAAACACAGGGGTATTTTAGAAGACATTATATATGGGAGTCTCTGTGGTTAAACTGGGAGAAGATTAAAAGACAATGTTATTTGAAAATTCCAGTCTGGCTATCGACTATTGAAGCATTTTCTTATCCTATAATATACAAAAACAAACAAACAGTTAGATATGGTGAAATATTGAATGAAAAGGGTGAACTCAAATCTATACAAAAACTAGAGGAACAAGGTAAAAAGATGAATTGGTTTTCATATGCGCAAATACATTCAAGGTATGATAAAGATTCTAAAATGGAAGGTTTCTATGATAAATTGACTGATTTAGATAAGATTTTGACAGGTACTGATGAAAAGGTGATTAAAAATTGTATGGATATTTATTAGAAATTAAATTAGAAGAAGAACAAGTTAAAGAAACTATGATTGCTTGGGGGAAGAATTTTGGATATGGGATTGATTTAGAGAAATGGCAAAA